TGAAGGAAATGAGATATCTCGAAAATTTGAGGACGATGAGCCTTCCCGCTCGTCTCGTAGGAAACCTTCCCTGCCAAAACAATTTTTCAATGTTCGAGAACTAGAGCTCCTGGAGGGGTTTTGATAGCGAGGGCTTTGCTTGGATTCCGAAGTTGAAATCCTTCGTCGCGACGGGAAGAAGGACAGGGAGAACGGAAATCGGCGAACTACGTTTCAGTGTTCATTTACATTCGCCAATGAGCAATCTAATTCAATCGATGGCTTCGGCACGAGCATAAGGTGCATGACGATTTCCGGAATCGAGGACTAATAAATAATCTGAGAGCATTGAAGGCAGTCCGGCGAGAGAGAACAAATTCACCTCAGAGAACTCACTCGGATCGAGGTTGAAGTTAAAATCATTCTCCGAAATCATTCAACCGTCTCTGGGGTGCCATCGGCTGGAGGAGGAAATTAGGCCGCGATCTAAGTTTGGGAAGCCGTTTATACACAAATCGGGGTTTATGGCTCGCGGTGCAGTTCGCTCTTGAAAATCCCCGGCTCTGCCATCACCTTCTACGACCAGTCTCCCTTGACGTGATGAGGGGGGAACTCGACCTATCGCTTGCCAGTCTTTCACAAAAAGTTCTCGTCTGGACGGTAATGACTCAAACAGGTCGTGGAACGAAACGGACCGGACGAACTTCGCGGCGGACATTAACCAGACCTACCGGACGCAACTCGTAAATCCTCTGCTCCACGCGAGCGAAGCGACCCGCGGAAGCTTCAATATTCAGACCTGTATGTTCCGTTTTTTTCAGCGTGACAGCCCTGTGTTCAAGGTTCGACGCGATTAGTTCCGAGTCATGTGATCGTTCGGAGCTCCCGCAGTCGTCTAGCATCTGGCTAGTTTCAACTTTCCTCCCGACTTGGCGCGAATGCCCCTGTGATTCTCGATTCAGAGCAAAACTTCGGAAATAGATGAACTCACCGCAGTGTTGCTCCAGCCGGCTGAGCCGTGGAACTTCATCGTTCAGCTTTCCTCCTCGAGGTGGTTTCGCGAGCTGCGACCACTCGGCTCGGTTGCCCTTTTCAGCGCGAACAGATCCCGTGGGATTTGCGTAGAATTTTATCGCTTCGAATAGCGCATTCATTCGTTGAATATTCGATCGGAGGACGTGTATTGACATTTACGGCAGGACTCCGAATTTCCCTCATCCCAGCGGAATCGATGTCAAGCTCCTTTCGATATGTATACGGAAACGTTCAAGAGCCCGGGTACCCTGTGATGCTTGTCACTGGGGGCGTTGAGCAGGAGAAGTTTGCAAGAAGACTCACCAACTTGGGAGAAGCACCCCATTCCAACGAGGTTACTTCCACCCGACTTCCGCAGGTGACTCCGCGTATCGGAACCGCCGAGAGCCGGTTCCGGTCGCCCCTCCACGAGACCGGAGGGAGCTATTATGCTCTCTCGACGAAACCATCGTCTCGTGTCTATTCTAACAGGCTCCGTCGCAAACATCGGGACAGGGATTTCGGACAGGAGCGATGATGCACTGACACATGAATTGGTAAGACTTCAATCCTTGGCAGAAGTTGTCGCTCTGAGGAGCGGTGGCTCCGATGAGTTTCTGAAATCTTCAATCTCGCGCCGTACGCTCAACTCTTCTCGAACTCATGATGCCGCCTGGTTGTCCGAGGGCTTGACAAGTTCCGAGGCGTACGCTCTCTTCGAATTCTTGCCCTGCCCGCCGACGGAACGCAATGCTCTGTGACTTCTCAGTCTCCGTGGGGATTCCCCTGTGTAGTCAAACTTTTTCCAAAGTTGACGATGGGGCTTTGCCGAATGCAAGAATGGTCACTCCTACAGACATTCCCGAGCGAAACGTTGACAGCCGCGCCCTATTCCCCACATCCGCAGAGCTGCGCCCATCAGATTCGGGGGAGGGGCTGCGAACGATTGGAGAAATCACAGCGCCCACCTGTTGCGTGAGTTCTCCGCAGCCGTATTGAGGGTAGCCAGATACGTTGTGACATCGGCTGGCAGAGACGGACGAGATAAGCGCGCCTAGTGCAATAACAACGTCAGACAGTCGGAATGAGCAGGCGAGCGGGTTCGAGCAAACGAGCAGGGGTCCCGAAAGGTGAGCTCTAAAGATAGGAAACACCGACTCCGACACCAAAGTGGAGCTGGAACACCTCAGATAAATGGGCAAGGTCCTCGAATCTTGATCACAGTAGAATGCCGAACTCAGATTCCCCACGGGTTATACGGACGCTGGGATTTGGCTGGGAGTAATAAGACTTGGTCGGCCGAAGATCAACAGCAATAAGAGAATTGAGAGCAGTGCTCTCGATGAGGACCGGTGTGCAAACGATAGAACGATAGAGCGCCATCACGAGCGGGCGTACCGCCGAAAGCTAGAGGTTTCCGACGAGGCGTAGCGTAGACTGACGACGCATGATTCGAAGTATATAGTGAGGCACGAGAAGCCTAACTAAGACAGCGTCGCCGTGGGCTCCCGCCGTTCTCAGCCAACTTGGCCACCGTCGAATCCTCTCTCACTCGAGATAATTGCATCATGGAGCGCGCGGCGTCACATTTGAAGCTTAGCGAAGCCCTCGCAGTGTTCTGTGCGAGCGAGAGACTGTTGCGAATGGCGATAACAACGCTTACGACGCCGACGTTCCTGCGTGCAATGTATGCACGATCACACTGCAGCTTCCAAAGCTCGTTGCGATGCCTCTACCCCTGTGCTTATGCATAGCTCTTGTGAAGAGACTTGCATTGAGAAGCAAGCTAATCAGTGTGCTGGTTTATCGGTTGCTCCCGCTCTGTCAGCCAGCCAGTCAGTCAGAGAATCATCCCACTCCCAGTGACGGACTACCAAACGAATCGCGTATTGTTAGAAAAATAACAAGGCAATCCAATCCTTTTGAACTCAATCCCAGAGGGAAGAAGAGAAGAGATCCCGAGAAACGGTGGACTGGAGAAGCAAGTGGACTCCAGGCCGAGATAACTTATGCGATTCGTTATATACGCCACTTGTGAGTTGGCGCTTGACTGACGAAGCGACGAATGCGTACCAGTCCTTCCCTTCGAGTGACACATCGGCTCTCGAAGAGTATCCCGATTCCCCTATCGGGGCTTGGAGGGAAAAGAAAGCGGGGATGAGAAGGAAGGGCCATAGGGTCAGATTCAAGGAGCTGGTCTCAAAAAGGCACGGATCGGAGACGTATTTTACCGGCCATCGGTACTTTCTACAAAAGAGAGCGAGTGCCGAATAAATCCGTGATGATGAGAGAAGGACCGATGTTCAGGGACACAGAAATCAGACACGCGAATCTCGTCCCACGCAACAGCTGTCTCCAGTTGACGCCGTCGCGGGTGCTGGACGTGAGAGATGGGCGTGGAGAAAGTCGAGCCGTTGGCTGGCGGTGCAAGACGGAATCACTGCATTCTACCGCTCCGTCGGGCAGTCGTTCGATCCGTCAGCCCCTCTGCTGGCCGGCCGGCCGGCCTGCCCGCCAGCGAGTGAGCTTGCCAATTACGTTCTCATCTGATTAGCCGCCACTACCACCACGCTCACCACCGCGACTGATACTGAAGCTGGCGGTGAGAGCTTCAATCCGAAACAAGTCTTTCAGGAACGCCACCCGTTGTCTTCTTTGATCCGCGGTCCAGTGGTGCGTTGCTTAGTTAGCCGGCCTGTTGATTCTGGCGCTGACATTTTGTCAGCTTGCTCGCATTCCCCGATTTGTCTCTTCGCGAGGTCACAACAGTCATGGCATGGGGGAATCAGGACCGGCCTCCCCAGCATACGAAGCTGTGTCCATTCGTTCGTCCGCAAATTCGCCTTCTCGAGGAATGGAAGCTGTCAACAGCATTACTGCGAGCTGATTTATGGCTTCCATGAGCGATGAGAAAACGCAAGCCTCAGATCAATTTCGATCCAGTGTCGGCACCGGAAGAGATTTCCTCCGAGGTCAACGACGCCTCGCATTCTTCCCGCGGAATTCAAAGGGACGGGAATGGAGCAGAACGATGAAGTGACGTAGTTTGATTAAACGATTTCTCTCCAGCCTCTGTGGATGAGCGAATTCGACGGGCACAATTGAATGTTTACAGCCCGATCTCTACTTTTGTCCCCGAGACATCCCCCCTACCATCGCCTCCTGACGCGGAGCTCCACGCAATTGCCTACGCAGGACGAGAGAAAACACCGAGCAGCGACTTCCCGGATTTCCGTTTCGGCTCCGAGAGATTGAAAACCCGTTTTCCCATTCTCATCTCTCGTCGGAATCCTTGTCGACAACGCTCACAACTTCTCCTCCCGCGCGTTTTCCTCGGGTAGAACTCAGATGGCCTCCTCCAGCAAGACGACGTGTATTCCCTGCAAACGTCACAGAAATGAAATAGTGGACTCCTGGGCATTCCGCGGTATCGCTTCGAGCTCCGAGTATTCAAATTTTCTACGCGCATCGACGACCGGACATTTTTTCCTTCAGCCTGCGAGCGAAGGAATGCGAGAGCCTCGGAACAACGGAGCGTAAAGTGCAACTGAATCGGAAACAAATAACACTGGCGGACGAAGCTCGCGGAAATCAAATTAAAGCGTGGATGACGCCGGATCGTCAGAGAGCTTCTGCGACTCAAACTGTGCCGAGCTCGTCGGATCTTCACTTGTAGAGATGAGATACAAGGCTCTGGTGATGCCATCTGTGTAGATGCTGTGTGCTAGAAAAAGGGACAGCATCTGTTTGCCTCCCTGTCCGTCTCGTTCCACATGATCTGAGTTGCTCTGAAAGCTTGTCTGGTCTCTCTAAGTGAAACGATCCCGCATCGATTCTTCCCCACGTTCCCCAACTAGGTACACCTCGATGACGATTTGCGCGATCTGATCGCGGTCCGTCAGCGCACTCAGTATAGTGATGGTCTGATCGGAGATGATCGACTGATGAGGATTCCGGGTGAAGTTGTGCATCCTCGTTCCCAAGAGAGGGAAATCTCGAAATCATAAGGAGAACGGACGAGTACTTTATTGTCTTGCTCATCATGGCTTCTGACGGTCCAGAGTCCAGAACAATCAGAAAACTCAGAAATTCTTGAGGCTACCGACGACTTCCCGTTTAGCCGAGATAACTGTGTTCTTAATCAACATGGCAACCGTCATAGGGCCGACTCCCCCGGGGACGGGAGTTATCCAGGATGCCACTTCTTTCACGGCTTCGTAATCAACGTCACCGACCAATCGACTGCCTCGGGCAGTGGATGGATCTGGAATAGAATTGATGCCGCAATCGATAACAACGGCACCCGGCTTGACCCAATCTTTCTTGACCATTTGAGCCACACCGACAGCCGCAACAATGATGTCGGCCTGTCTCGTAAACGATGCGACATCTTTCGTCCGGGAATGGCAGACGGTTACGGTGGCGTTGACAGTGCGCAGAATGCACGACATGGGAGCGCCAACGATCTTCGAGCTGCAATGCGAGGAGGGAAAAACATCAGATTCAGTCTCTTGAGATGAAGAGACTCGACTTCCAATAAGAAGCGAAACGTCGATTGTTGCCACGCTTTTCTGCCGGAGGAGATCCATCCACGGACTCGGTCAGAGCCCGATAGGGAGAGATAGCGCTCGCCGACATCGACAGCGTTCGGGGGAAACTCACCGACCGATGACGACCGCATGCTTTCCGGAGATGTCAATTCCTGTTTTTTGGATGAGCTCTAGACAGCCCCTGGGGGTACATGGTAGGAAAAAACCTTCCAGCTCCCCGTGGGCCAAGCGCCCGGCATTCTCAATATGGATTCCGTCGACGTCTTTCAGCGGTGACACCGCGTTGGTGATCTTGCCTGGGAGCACATCGAAAAAAATACGTGTGACTCAACGGATAAGGAGCTAGCGAATCGTCAGTCGGCAGAATATCGGTGACATAACGTGCGCACACGCAACGATAGATTGAGGGAACGCAACGAAAGAGCGGAGGCATCTGTTTCACGCGAACTGGCGCCGTATCGGCTTCCGCAGCAGGGCATCGGCTGTGGCGGGCCGACGTATTTCGTTTTTTCCCGTTTTCCCTCGATGACGCGATGAGCTCCGTATCCGATGAGACATCGACTTCGGTCTTATCGGATCGATCGAGCTTCGACGAATTCTAGAAAGCGGCATTCCCTACCAGACAAATGATTATTGCATGATTCGGTCCCCACGGCCTTCGCTGCCGCCCCGCTCCAGCCCTTGCTTGTCGCAGTCGAACAAGGAGGAAGCGTAATCGTATTAGACGACATCAGGCTGCGTTTCCCGAGCTCCAATCCAAGTGTTTCCACAGCAACCCGTGTGCCACGCAGGACCTGCTCTACGAAGGAAGGATCGAGCTCACACAACTAAAGTCTGGCGGAGCTGGTCGTAGAGCGCTGTCTGATTAGCAGAGGAAACTTGTTAATGAGCTAGTATCCTCGATTAGGGAAAATGGATTCAACTCACCAGCATCAATTTTGTTCGTGCAGTCTAGAGGCAGTTGAACGATGATTCCGTGCACGCTCGGATCGGCGTTCAGCTTCTCTACACCGGTCAGCAGCTCGCTCTCAGTGACAGTGGGGGGGAATTTCACGTGCTCGGCTTCGACGCCGACTTCACCTGCCGCCTTGACTTTCATCCTTATGTAGACATTGGAGTCCTCCCGGCCTCCAACTTGGACGATCACCAGCTTAGGTCTGAACGAGGGATTCTTCGTCTTGAAGTCCAGGACCTCTTGAGCGAGAGCCTTCCGTACTTCCTTGGCCGTCTCAGTCCCCGACAGCACTTTCGCCACCATTGCTGCAAGGCATCAATTTTCGTTTTCCACGATAATATTCCTAATCCGATCGATCCCCAGTCGATCAAATGATTCCTTATGCCCGAATCGTCGATGGGAAACTGAGGATAGTGAAATCCCAAGGGTCCGCATCAGGGTTCGAGAACTCCGCGAGAGTTCTATTGCGTTGAGAAAGATTCATCTCCAATTGGCCCAAATTCCTCGGAATAAGCACCCGAGCTCCGAGCCGGCCTGAGTCACGGACCTCGGAGATCAAAAGAGTCGGCGCGTCGATGACGATATGATAAAACCGCGATCCGTCGTGAGCCACACGGACACAAGAAGAATCAGCTCCTGTAGTCGACCGATTGACCATTTTGCTCAGTTTCCATATCCGATATATTGACGTACTACAAAGGGTTCCCGGGCGGAATCTTGGAATATGAAGGATATCTTCAGATTGAAGCGGAGACGCTTCTCCTACCCGACTCGATATGATATAAAGGGAAATGTGGAGCATGCTTCTGGATATCTGCCTTCCAGTTCTACTCTCCAGCAGTGAGATTCTTAGATGGAACTTCCGTCCCTCGCGCTCCGCTTACCGCGGATCTGCGTACGACTCGGAAATCGTTTTTACATCGGAAGCGAGGTTTCTGACCCGCTTTCGAATATTCGCCGTGCGTGCAGCCACGATGGGCGCTCACGAGTCGATGTCGGGAGTACTTTGTTCGGGAGTGAATGTCGGCGAAAATATTGCCTGCATTCAGAAGACATCCCATTCCGTTGCGAAAGGTTTTCCAATTTCTCGGAACCGTTTCCGCCGCAAACACGACTTCTCCTCTCTGCGTCTGAGGGTTGGAGCTCGCATCCCGCGACGGTACACAGAAGGTCATCGAGCATTCTTGCGAATATCACGAAAGAGCTATTCGAGGACTGCGGCATGCTCCTGTGTGTCATCTTCCCTCAGAAAAATCAAACCCGGTAGTCTCTAACGGGACAAGCGTGTATTATTAACGGTAAGAGGAGAAGCTCGCTTGGCGTCGTCAGTCGGTGTGCCCGATACGACGACCGAATAAAACCGAGACCGAGTCGAAATGCCCGCCATCCGAATCGTGACAATCTAATCTTATCCTCAGCGGAGACTATCTCACTATCTCACTACAGAACGCCACGAGTGGACAAGCACTGAACCAAATGTTCAGCCGAAGTATTTAAATAGAATCGCGCAACGGTGTCATTGAACTCTCCGATGATCATTGGTTCGCCTGGTTTAATTCGCCAAGGTACAATCGGATCGAAAAGCTCGTTCAGAAGGAGTTTTTCTAAGAATCGAAACCTCTCCAAGGCACGATGTCGATCACCCGAGCACAAGGACGGAGTCTCACAAGGATATGATGTAGCAATCCGGAGTGGACTTAGATTAAAGCTTCTAAAAATAACGCTTCATGAAAAGCAGGCAAGCGTCCGATGTCCCGGGGTACTCTGGGACACTTCGGGGATAGCACCGGCACCCGTACTCAACGACGACATTCGTAGGCTCGGTCGTGCCTTCGCTCGCCGGTGGAACCGATCCGTGCCCCTCGTCTGTTATTGTCGCCGAGCTCTTGCTCAACTCGGCGGCTCACATCGCACTTGGAGAGATCGTCGCTTAGCGAGACCAGGGAGTTCTTTCTCTCAAGGGGTTTTGATGGCAAGACCGAGCGAACTTCGGTTGGCGCCGTAGGAAGGTCGATCGGTCGTGACCGTGACACCAATCAGATTCCGTGAAGTGAAGCACGGACTTATCGGTCGGAGCCCTTGAATCCTATCGACAACTTTGGAAACAAATATTCCGAATACTCACTGTTAGTCAGCGTACGTGCAGACGAAATCAGCTTTGTCAACACCGAGATCTGTAGACTCCACGCCGATGTTTGGAGAAACTCACTCACCACGTCGTGGAGAGAGCTCACGCAGCGGGGCACCAACCACCGACTGACGGCGTGTCTGTCACGCTGCAGGCGAGGAGGAGGATTTGCGCGTCATCTTGATGTAGGTAGGTACGTGGAGGCAATCAGAATGACCTGATAGGAATCTCGTACCTTAATAAACGTCACTCGAAGACTCCGTATATGTATCTTTGAGTTTCATACTATGCCGAGGAACGAGCTCGAATTTAACTTGTCTCAGAAATGGAGATTCAGGATTTATGGGCAGAGGATCGGGCAGGTTCATGAATTTCATATTCTCCCGAGCCGCACTCGACTCATGAATAATGAGAAGCACAATTTGCGTAACAGCTCGACGCTTTACTCTCTTGATGAGCGTCACTCAATTCCTCAGCAAAAGTCAAATTGAGGAAGACGAATGAATTTTCACGAGCTGACGGTTCCCCTGAGGTGAGCCCTCGTATAGCACAGAAACCTTCCTCGCCTGCAGCGATACCAGCCCGAATCCAGTTCGTAGGGAGCCTGACGACGACGTTGAATCTGTGTAACCCACGTTCGAGCTCATCTCTAGACTTTAGACCTAGACGGTTACTCGACTCGCGTGTGCCCGCATCAACCATCATGATTGAGATGAAGATTTTTCGCGGAAAATTTCCGCCGAATTCGCGGAAATCCGCGGCCTCCATTGAAACTCTATGAGGAGTAGCCGAATCTCCGCGAAAATTCGCGGAAAAATGGCGGTCCGGGGAAAATTTACATCCCTAATCATGATTGATGGAAAAATCTATCGGAGTTGCCGTCTCTCGGAGCTGGTCATCCGATTGAGAGTATCGGTTGCTCAGGGAACAAGGGGTCTCACAAGCCAAGGCGATGAATTTCGAGGGTCCGCGCGCGGGCAGCTAGATTCAGAAAATCAGGGTCCGATTGATTCTACATGAGCCGCAATACGAAGATATTCAATTTCCTCAACCCTTCGCTAGAGAACTCGAGAGGAGAGCTTGCTGCTCCAATGAAAAGGGAGTCATAAAAGAAAGAAACACCTCAATCACGAACACGGTTCTATGCGGTCCCGTCCTCTAGACATTGAGCTAAATGGCCCCCGTGGAGTTACAACTTGGTTTCCCTCAATTCCCTGTTCCTCGTTTCTAACTAGAGTCGTTCCCAGGTACGCAATGCCATCACAGAGGAATATTATAGTCATGATGTTCTTATGAATTGAGGCACTATTGGGAAAAAATACCACATTCAGTCATCGGGTTAATGAGGTTTTTCGCTCGATCATCCCCCTGAGGAACAAAAACAACTCCTCCCTTAACTTCCGGCGGAAGAGTTCGCCACCAAGAGAACGTCTGCAGTCATCGCGAGCCTAGCTCGCTGCTAGGCTGAACAGTCCGCTTGGAGGCGCACGTCGATTTCTAGTCGCGGGGCAAACTTGGCGTCTTGATCCGGCGCTCCCCGGCGGTTTCGAAACACGCGAGGAGTGTGGGAGGCTGTTGAGATTCTCCCCGACCAGCAGAATTTATCTGAGATCGCCTTGCGGGAGAGATCGATCCCGGGAAGAACCACTTTATAATTACGATACCCGCACGAAGATTGCCAAAGGCAAACCCGGTCCCGTCTTGCTCCCAAGCTGGTATCTCTTCCTCGGATTCTCAGCCCTTCGTCCGAACTTCTACCAAAAATTCTTCTTTTTTTCGATCTAAAGTTCTCTGTCCCAAACTATTCCCGAAAGTATTTTGACGTATCCAACCGTGATCGGATCTCTACTCAAGTTTTCCAATGGCTACCACCCCATTCCGTGACCGACATCTAGCGGCTTCGTGGGAGGGAGGAGGCTCTCGCTCCGCCAATTAAAAACAATGCCTCGATCAAGGTTTGCGGACAGTTACGGCTTTCCAACGATGAGCGAGTCACGTCCGGGGTTCTCCCCGTCGCCACTCTCTTCACCAATCGGGGTTAGGTGGGGGCGACGCGGAATGAATAATTACTGCAAGAGATAGAGACGGTCGCTCCTCCGCCAGGACTATACATTCGGGGGAATGAACATCGAAGTAGTCCGTCGCGCTTACAGAAATTCCTGACCTCCGAGAGGATGTCGCAGAGTCTCAGCCGGGAAGGCAGGCGACTCGGAGGATCTTGACGGTGCGTCTTAACAACTGAAAATCGCGATTCAGATTCCTTTCTCATTGAGGGCAGAAACCTTCGCGAATGCGATACAGTGGAGGAGGGAGAACTCGTCGATCAATCAGGAGTTATAATCTCTCTGACTTCGCATTCCGGATAGCTTCGCAGAACCACTCAGCTTTGCGTAGAGAAGACGCGGCACTGCCTCAACACGAGTCCGCGCCAGACGCGCAGCGAGCAGGGCGGATGAGATCACAGGAACGCGCCGAAAGGCATGTTAGGAATTTATGGCTCTCATCAGGTCGTTTCTCGTCGCCCATTTCTCTTGAGGACCCGAGACTGTCGAGAGGGAAACTCCGAGGGCGATGTGGATCGATTCTTTGAGAGAATTCCGAAATGAATCAGTAAGTCGCACGTCCCTTAGGCATCGGTTGCAAAGGAAACACCGAACTTCGATCGGGAAGCTGGATGCGGGCTCCTCGCACGAACCCTGCTGGAAATCATGAAAAAACTCGTATCGAGCTCCCGCGGAGGGTTGGAGCTCTAAAATGACGCTAGCCATTGAAAGCGGAGGCCTTCTGAGGCCGTTCATCTTGTGGAACGAATTCATTAAAAGTTTTCTCATTCAATGTTCAAGTGACAAGTTCCGTCTCATGACTTTAATTCTAGAAGCTGCGGCTTCTCAGAAACTCCACAAGAACTTTCACGAGGCCGTTTTGCGTCTCCGTCAGCGTTTTTTTGGGCTTTTTTGAGGAGGGGGTCTGGGGTCCCCTTCGGAGCCAACTGCCAAGTGGCGAATTTCGCGAATGACAACAACCCAGCGGAGGGTGCCGCCGTCATCCGTCGATCGAGTCCACTGCCGGACAGAGCCTTTGTGATATCAGCAGGCGTTATCAGTAGATAATCGTGTTAGATCAAATCAAGACACTGCACCCCGTCTCCCGCCCCCGAATTTTCTTCTTACATTCCGCGAATCAGACAAAAAGTCAAAACGTAAGAGGGGACAGGTGGAATGCGACAATCCAGAGTCAGCCTTCGACTCGCGCAGTGCCCCCCTTTCCCTTCCCCGCAAAGTTTGTAAGATGCGAATGAGCGCGGGAGTAACCTACTCAAGCCGTTCTTAGGATTTCTCAAGCCAATCGAAAGACAGCAAGCAGAAAATTGCGCTTTGCTCCTCCGGTCCGAGCGTGAAATGTAGCTTGGGCGGAACAGATTTCGATTCGATTTCCCCGGAGCACGACCTGGACGGAGTTCCTCTACCCGACCCATTCTCCTCATATAATTGACGGCAAAGACGGAAGGCAGACAAAGCACCGACCACGACTGAGCGACGACGTTCGTCCCAGAGGAGACTGTGAAGCTTCTGATGTTAGACGCATCGGCGACGCTTCGGAGAGGGAGAAGAAATCGAAGAACGAGACGGACGATCGGATATGGAATTACAGAGCCGGCGGATGATTCTTGACCGTTCCTCCACAAATCCGTATTTTTTTGCGGTGGCGGGCACCCAAGCAAGCGGGTCGTGTCGGAATGAGGGTTCGCCGAGCATCCGGGATGAACCTCGAGGCAGAAGATGAAGCCAAACCACATCCTCAAGCTCACTGACCGCGACTTCGATCTCTCCCATTCGAGACAGAACGAGCAAAAATGAGCTCGTGCATCTGATACCTGAGCTGAGCGGGAACACTAGGTTCTCTTCAGCAGAAGAACATGGGAGCAGACCTGACATCGCTCTGAAAGTCGTCTCCTGTGGTGGAACCTAATTGCAAGCGTTCTCCTCCGGAGCTCGAAACGCTCATTACGGGAAGGTCGTAATCATTCCGTCTCAAATATTTGTAGAAGAAGAAAACTCCCGGACGAGCTCGCTTTCAGGTCGGGGATGTTCCTCTGCGGATGATCTGGCGAGAATTATTTTGCCCGGAGAATCGAGTCCCACCGCAAGGGCCCCTGTATTCTGTCGAAAGAGATCCCCGCCGGAAACCCCATGGGCTCGCCGCTCATCGATCGGAGACAATCAAGCGTCGGCGAGCGTAGGATCTGCTGACGTTGATCCGAAATCTCTGAGGAAGGTATCGAGATGAGATAGTTCATGCCGTCCGTATCGCAGAACGCTTGGCTGATTCTCGGCTGTGTCAGTTGGTCTGCTGCGTGGTCCGAGTGAGCCGTTAGAGCAAAAACTGTGCGTGCGAGTAAGCCCCGGCGTGTTGCAAAATATGTACATGTGGCAAACAAACGCCGTGCATGTTTTTACGCGGACGGAAATCCCGTTTCCCGTTCGCTCGCCGAGTTGAGGCGAAAGACGGTGGAGAGGCCAAGGCGAGACGAGCCGAGTAAGCAGTCGTAGCTGCTCGGTAAACAACATATCCACTGACAGTGGGACACACAGAACAAAAGAGCCGTCATTGTCGCCGGTGTCGTTCTCTCCCTATGATGAAGACCTCATTCACTCCGACAGCCAAGCAAGCAGTCTTGTACGCGGAGGAAAGTGCATATTGGTATCTGTGGTGGCGGCCTGGAGTCACTACACGTTCCCCACACTACGGATGCGTGTTTGCCGGATGCTTGCAAAAAACTTCATTTCCTTCTAACTCTCATTTTTGTCCCCGCGGCGACTTCAGGGCATCTTTCCCAACGTGCTCGTCGCTCGCGAGGCGATTGCTCGAGACCGCTCGCGACGTCAACACACCTCGTATACCACAGAGCCTTAGGGAATCAGGATACCACTGCGGTCCCGTAGAAAAATACAGGACTCTATACCCTGCCACGGATCGCTTAGTTCCTCATTGCAATTCGCGAAGCTCCGAATTGTTCCTCCCGCCGAAATATCGG